AATAATTCATGCAAATGATCTACCCTAACGAATATACCTGGAAGAACTTGTGGGATGACTACAAGGAGTCATACTTTGAGGAGTTTAAGGTAAATTCATGATATGGTTTTGAAAATATTGTGGCTAATTCTTGAAGCTAGAATGTTGTTACGAGTATGATGCTGGAACGCAAGAAGTTGAAGGGTCGACTAAGTCTCCAATTATAAACATGTCACATACAGCTGTATGTGGATGTTGTTGGTGGGATAAAGAAACAACGTATTTATGGCTTAGGGACTAAGGCATCCTCATTTATCAAAGAGAATAGTTGTAGTTCATCTGCTACTTCACAACTTCATCAAGATGTAATGAAGGAGATGGTGGCCCAATAGTTAGAGACCATGCGAGCTGAGATGCAGGCTCAATTACAAGCTGAAAGAACTCAAATGCAGGCTCAAAAGTAATCTCAAATGCAAGCTCAAATGTAATCTCAAATGCAGGCTCAAATGCAAGCTCAGATATTACAACTTTGATGGATGAGTTGCGTCGCAACGGCTTGCTATCCACTTTTGTGTCACGACCTCCAACAACTCAAGTTGAACATTCTGCTAATTCAAATGCTGAAAACTTACGAGATCATTAGATTATGTTTATTAATATATTTGGTATTGCTTATAATGATGCAATATTACACAAGGCTATACATTTGTTATTGTTAGTTGTTGAGTTTGATTTTTTTTTTTTAATATACATGAATATATTTTACAATTATATTATTGAAGTACTATTATAGGTTTAATGTAGGTATGTGATATTAATTAGTGGGTAAATTTTCCTAAAAAATTTAAAAAATTCAACGACGAACAAATATGTTAGTGTTTAATTTGTTCATAAAAACCCCAACTTATGATTGGCAATATTATTATGGAAAACTAAGATAAGATTAGCTTAGTGTCGATTTTTTCTACAGCGGACTGATCAATCAGGTACAACAACAGAAGGACTGACACTGAAGATTTGTTTTAGGAAGCTGTCCTCTTAAAAGATGAACGCGGTTTAACAGAGACAGTTTTTGGAAAGAAGATCAGCGTATCTCCTTTGGAAAGGTATGGACCGAATCTTTAAGATTACATTCTTCAAATATTGTCCTACCATCTACAATCAAAGATATCTATGGAGAGAGTGTTCTAACTATGGAACTATAAGTATCCTCATTCGACGAGAATTAGGGCTACACTTTTCAAGAGAGAAGAAACACTCCTTATCAGTTTTATGAGATCAGATCTTTGATTACTATGCCTTTTCTCAATACAACATGTTCATGGTGATTAAGATGAAGAACTTGAGAAGAATCACTGCTGCTTAAACGAAAGGACATTACGATCACACTGTTGTGGGAACAACCGTAAAGAGCGTCATTGAAGTGGACTGCATCAGAGTTGGCTCTCCAAGTGAAGGGATTTCATTGGACTTCTGTATGCATGGCTCTCCACCTTCAACAATCCACTAAACCTGTGTAGACTGGGTACGTACCTTGTGTGGGACACTTGGGTGAGATTATTGTTTTCTCTACCATTGTACATTGGATTATGATTTAGTGGATTGGACGCCTATGTGATCGTCCCCCAGACGTAGATACACACTGTATCGAACTGGTAAACATCTTATGTTTTGCTTTGTGCTGTTATCTCTTTCTTTAAACATCTCTATGATTTGTTTTACTGACTGACTTCATGCTGAATCAGTCAGTCCATTTCATTAGTTGGTTAATACAGTTAATCTGATTAAAAATGAGGAAATGCAAAATTACATGTGGTATCAGAGCTTTTAACTCTACATAGTGACTTGATCCGTACGGGTTTTTAGTTTTGCATTATTCTCTTTCTTTTGGAAGTGCCTCTGTGTGTTCGTTGGCTGGTTGTCTTTGTTCAGGATGGATGTAAGTATGAAACCACCAGAACTAGATGGTCACAACTACTTTTTCTGGAAGGATCGTATGGAGATCTATCTCCAAGCACAAGGTACTAGGGTTTATCGTACTGTCCTATCTGGGTGGAGTCGTCCAACTGTTCAGAATGCTGATGGAACCACTGGGGATAAGCCCATGGAGACTTGGACAGACGATGAAATGAATGCCTCTGATCTAAACAACAAAGCGTTGAACTCTATTGTAGGATCTTTGCATGAATCTGTCTTTACCCTAGTCACTGGGGTAAAAGAAGCTAAACGTGTATGGGAAATTCTTAAAACCAGATTTGAGGGAACTAGTGATGTCAAGCAGTCAAAGCTACAAATGGTGTTGTCAGAATTTGAAGCTCTTAGAATGAATGAAGAGGAAACCATTTCAGGCTTTCACAGTCGGGTTCAGAATCTGATGAACAGAGCCTCAATTCTTGGTGAACCATTCACTGATGAGAGAGTAGTCAAAAAGATCCTTCGATCTTTACCTAAACGCTTCCGGATGAAAGTAACTGCTATTCAGGAACACACGGGCTGGGAAAAGAAGACTGTAGGAGAACTTATGGGAAGTTTACACACATATGAACTTGAAGTGTTTGCTGATGATGATCTTGCTGGCAACAGAAAAGAAAAGTCAGTGGCTTTTGTGGCCGAAGCTGATCGAGAATCTGACACAGACGACATAGATGATGAAACCTTGGTACTTCTAGCCAATAATTTTAAGAAAATATTGAAAGGATTTAACAAAAAGAGTCTAGGTCAGCCTACCAGGACACAAGACAAAGGCAATAACTCCTCATATCAGAAAGCCGAAACCTCATATTTTTCACAGAACAATCAACCCCAGACTGGCCGAACAAGACAAAACAGAGACAGTTCCACAGATACAGGGAGGTCTCTCAACCGGTCAGTGCAGTGTAGAGAGTGTGAAGGCTTTGGACACATACAGGCTGAATGTGCAACGTATCTCAAGAGGAAAAATGCTATGTCAGTGGCTACACTAAGTGATGATGAGGAGGAAGCATCTAATGATCAGTCAGATGATAATGTGGGAAACTTTGTAGCCTTCTTTACAGCTACAGAGAATCAGTCAGACGGAAATGAATCAGATGGAGAATCTTATATATCAACATATGATTTTGAAGAAAGGCATACTCAACTTGAAATGGAATTTTCTAAACTTGTTGCAAGCTGGGAACAACTAGTGAAAGTCAATAAAAATCTGAATGACGAGCTGAAGCAAAGAGATGATCTTCTGAAAAAACTAAATACAAATCTTGTCATAAAAGAAGATCTTATCACACAGATAAGATCCAGAGAAGGAAAACTGATAAAGGAATTGGAAGGTCTGAAGAAAAATATCCAGATGATGGACACCACATCAACATTAGACAAAATTCTGGACTCTGGTAGAAATCCGAATGATAAAAAGGGTCTAGGATTTGAACGAGGTGAATCTTCGAATAATGCTGCTATGTTTGTCAAAGAGGGTATGTCTACGGCCACAGCAGTTCACAGTTTTGAACAAGGACAGTCATCCCGGTCAGTTCAGAAAAATGATAAGAGAAAGATATATGATCGAACTGCAGATACTGACTTTGGCAAAGTAACTCGTCAATCTCATTATTCAAGGTTCAAAAATAAGTTTGTCAGAGTTAGACAATACACTCCCATTTGCCACTACTGAAAAAAAAGGTCACACTCGGCCTGAGTGTTATTTTTTCTACAGAGATCAAAGGAAGGAAAAATATCAGAACAAGACTATTACACCGTTCACTAGACAGGTTTGGGTAAGAAAGTCAGAAGTTATATGCTACCCCACTATAGTTCTGACTACATCTACGACTGAAGCTAGGTGGTATTTCAACAGTGGCTGTTCCAGGCATATGACTGGAAATGTAAAGTGTCTCATGGCTGTTCAACCAAGCAGTGGATCTGTTACATATGGCGACGGGCAAAAAGGGAAAATAGTTGGGAAAGGTACCCTGAATGTACCAGGTTTACCTCACTTAAAAGAGGTTCTGTTAGTCAGTGGTTTGAAAGCAAATCTGATCAGCATCAGTCAGTTGTGTGATCAAAACTGGAATGTGTGCTTCGATCGTAACTGCTGTAGAGTTAGTGACAAAGCAGATCAACTTGTCATGGAAGGAACACGATCCTCAGACAACTGTTATGTTTTGGCAAACGAAAATGCTTGTCACCTATCTAAATCTGATGAATCAAAACTCTGGCATAGACGATTGGTCACATAAATTTCAGAGGTATGGATAAGCTGATCAAACTAGAAGCTGTGAAAGGAGTACCTAAGATCAGAATAGAACTGGAGAGAGTTTGTGGTGCTCTGCCATTGGGAAACAAATTAGAACTCCGCACAAAGCCGTAAGAGTTATCACTACTGAGAAATGTCTAGAGCTTGTTCACATAGACCTCATGGGGCTAACACATACTGAAAGCATTGGCGAAAAGAAATACATATTGTGTGTGTAGATGATTTCTCTCGATACAGCTGTGTGTACTTTCTAAGAGAAAAATCTGAAGCCTTTAAGGCTTTTAAAAACTTGTTCATAAGGGTTCAAAAGGAAAAGAACGAGCCTATAATAAAAATTCAGAGACTGAGAAGTGATCATGGAAAAGAATTTGAGAATTCACTATACTCAGACTTCTTCTCCGAGCATGGTATATCACATGAATTCTCAGCTCCTAGAACAGCTCAACAGAATGGTGTGGTGGAAAGAAAGAATCGTACCTTGCAGGAAATGGCTAGAGTCATGTTACATGCTTCTCATCTGTTGCAACGCTTCTGGGCTGAAGCAGTTCACACAGCTTGTCATACAGTGAATAGAGTCTATCTTAGACCAGGAACGACCAAAACACCATATGAGATCTGGAAGGGAAAGAAGCCAAACCTGAAGTATTTTCATGTGTTTGGGACTAAGTGTTATGTGCTGATTGATAGGGAACAAAGAGGGAAGTTTGAAACTAAGAGTGATGAGAACATCTTTCTTGGGTACTCTCCAAATAGTCGTGCCTACAGAGTCTACAACAAGAGAACTCAATCTGTAATGGAATCAGTAAATGTTGTTATAGACGACAGTCCAGACGAATCAGTGGAAACAATAGTGACTAATCCAGTAACTGAGCTCCCTCTCGGTGAACTGAATACTGCAGATAACAACAGTCAGCCCAAATCACAAGAATCCTCAGATGAAGATCAAGAAAGTTCTGAACAGGAGACAACTCTTATAAATGATACAGGTAAAGACAAACCCACCAGAACTCAGAAAAATCACCCATCAGATAACATCATTGGTGATCCAACAGACGGGATGAAGACGAGGAGCAGAATAAGAAATAATCTGATAGAAATATCTAGATCTGCTTGCTATACCTCAAAGATAGAACCAAGGAATGTAAAAGAAACTTTACAAGATGATATGTGGATCAAGGCGATGCAAGAGGAGCTACATCAATTTGACCGAAATCATGTTTGGGATTTAGTACCAAGACCTGATCATGTGAACATAATTGGAACAAAGTGGATCTTCAAAAATAAAACTGATGAAGCTGGGAATATTGCAAGGAACAAAGCTCAGTTAGTGGCACATGGATACACTCAGATAGAAGGAATTGACTATGATGAAACGTTTGCTCCTGTGGCAAGACTAGAGTCAATCAGAATTCTGCTGGTAGTCGCATGCATCCTGGGATTCACACTGTTCCAGATGGATGTTAAGACAGCATTCTTGAATGGATATTTGCATGAAGATATTTATGTGGCACAACCTAATTAAAGGCTTTGAAGATCCAGATTATCCATCACATGTCTACAAACTCAGAAAAGCACTCTATGGTCTTAAACAAGCCCCACGAGCATGATATGAACGTCTGACACAGTATCTGCTACAACAAGGGTATAAACGGGGAAGTGTCGACAAAACGCTTTTCGTCAAAGCAACTGGAGGTCATGTCACCATTGCTCAGATCTATGTGGATGACATTGTTTTTGGATCAACTTTACAGAAATACACTGATGAATTAGTAAAGGTCATGAAGGAAGAATTCGAGATGTCCATGGTTGGTCAACTGACATATTTCCTAGGGTGCAAGTTAAGCAAAGTCCTGAAGGATACTTTATCTCACAAGAAAAGTATGCTAAGAATTTAGTCAAAAAGTTTGATTTGGAATCATGCAAACCATCTAGGACACCTATCTCTACCTCCATGAAAGTATCTAAAGATGAAACAGGTGTATCAGTGGATAACACAGTCTACCGAAGTCTGATAGGAAGTCTGTTCTACTTGACAGCCAGTCGACCAGAAATAATGTTCAGTGTTGGAATATGTGCAAGATATCAATCTGATCCAAAAGAATCACATCTGATAGCAGCAAAGCGTATTCTAAAATATATAAAAGGGACAATTCAATATGGACTATGGTACCCCAAGGACAGTGAACTAAGTCTGGTTGCTTATTGTGATGCTGACTGGGCAGGAAATGTTGATGATAGAAAGAGTACGTCTGGAGGATGCTTCTTTGTTGGTAAGAACCTGGTATCGTGGCTGAGTAAGAAACAAAATTCAATTTCCTTAAGTACTGCAGAATCAGAGTACATAGCTGCTGGTGGATGTTGTACTCAGTTAGTATGGATGAAGCAGATGCTTTTAGATTATGGGCTTACTCAAGGAATTATGACACTCTACTGTGATAATGTCAGTGCAATCAATATCTCAAAGAATCCAGTTCAACACTCCAGAACGGAGCATATTGATATAAGGCATCACTATGTCAGAGACTTGGTTGAATTGAAGGAGATTGAGTTGGAATATATTCAAACAGATAAACAATTGGCTGATATTCTGACTAAGCCCCTAGATGTAAATCGATTTGAGATTCTCAGATCTGCTCTGGGAATCTGCAGTATTGACTAATAAGGCAGATAGTCATTCGGAAGGAGAGTGCATGGTTTACGTATACCGGTCAAATTTCAGTTTTGACTTCCTTTTAAAACTCCCTTCTTTTTGTTAAGAGAATATCTTAACCTAAATTACCATAAAGTGATTAGGCTTTTTCAAATTTCAAATATGTCTAGCATCCGTTTCTTGCCTAAAAAGGAGGTATACCGTTGCGTCAATCACATCGGCTCTGCATGTATTCTGACTAGCTGCATTTATTGAGGTTCTTCTCCCTTGGGTTTATAATCGATTACCGGGTCAGGCTTGTGAGGATGAAGGAGTTCAAAAAATATCTCTGGACACTGTTTGTATTCTCTTTGCTCTCCTATCTAGGGTTTGCTTCTTCGATTTCTCAAATCTCTTACCAATGGCGGATGCAGTTCGTAACATTATCATCAAGCTTGGGAGAAAGGTTCATTCACAAGAGACAGCCACCAAATATGTCAAAACTTTGCTCCAGTTGGCTATGAAGAAAAAGTTGAAGCTTGATCCCCTTCTCCGCGATGAAATCATAGTCACAGTGCTGTCCGATTTCCCAGAGTTCTACGCTGACTGGTCCGACGATGACAATAGTGAACTCTTGCTGCTGGCCTCCGAAGCAAGTGATGAAGTTAGTCCGGCATCTATTCCAGAGCCCTCAGATGGAAATCGAGCTGGGGCGTTCCTTCACTACTTTGCTCAAAGAGCCCTTGAGTCAGAAGAAATCTCCCGTCGTCGAGCAGTTGCACAACCCCTATATCTTCAGGCTGCCGAGAATGAAGCCAGACACTATCTTGAGATTCTGCGTAACAGGTCAAATACTTTTGATTCCCCTATTGAAATCTCTCCTGATAAGCCTGATGATGTAGTATCTGCTTCTATTCCGTCTGCTGTGCCTACTGTTTCTAATAATGTGAATGAATTAATTTCTGTGAAATCCTCTGTATCTGATGATCCCCCATGTATTCCCTCTACAAAGCTTGAACTTTTGAAGGAAGTCGCTGATAATGTGTCTGATGAAAAAGATAAACAGTCTGACAAGTCCAAGGACTTAAGTTTAGTTGTTTACTCGGCTGATACTGTTGCTCTGCCTTCCTCTGAAATTGCTGCTGTTTCACATGAAATTTGTCCCTCTAATAATCTCTCTGGTTTGCCTGCTGAAGTTGAGCCTGTTAAACCTTCAATCTCCCCTGCATCTGAAAGAATAGATGGAGTCCCAGTCTACACCTCCACATCTTTGGCTGAAAGTCTTGAACATGTCAGGCACTTTGCTGGCCTACCTGCTACCTCCATTTTAGAACCATATCGAGTGATTCATCCTTCTGAGTCTTCGAGTGAAGATGAAAAGATCCTTGCTGAAGTCTGTGGTACCCAAGCTCATGCATTTACGGCTCCGAATGTTAAGGCTACTGCATATCCTGATTCCACCATCTTCAAAATTAGAGAGATTACAAATCTTCTTGGAAGTTCTTCTGCACATGTTTCTGATTCCAGTCACTCTGTGTCTCCTGTTCAATCCCTATCCAAAGAAACGAGAAGATAAAAAAGGAAGAATGTTCCTGTGAAAGTTGTTGTTGAGACTGGTGATGAAAATGCTGATGTGGATCAGCCTGAGAAGAGAAGGAAGTCTAGTGAGACCATCAAACCTGAAGCCAATCCTCCTATCCAACAAGTGTTCAAGACACTACGGTCTTCTGTTAAACAAAAGGGCACTACTGCTGTTCAACCTGCTGCTGTTCTCACATCCTTTGCCAGAAAGGGGAAACCATCTACTTGTTCCAGAGGTCGGAGTATAACTCCTGAGGTTCAACCTGTTGAAAGTTCTGACACATCTATTTACAAGCCTCAGTTTGCTTCCCCCACTGCTCAGGGCAAATGGTCCACCATGGCCAGGAGAGACCTTATTGTGCAAAGGTCTGTTGATGAAAACCAGCTGAATCCCGTTTGTGATATCCTACCACTGCTGAGTGAAGTGGAACTGCTGAAGACTGTCACCTCCATCTGTCCATACTCGAAGCTCCTCACTTTTGAATTCTACTGTAATCTCAATGAAGAGATAGACATTTTGACTGGGCCACGGCCAATGCAAATCTTCATTCGAGAGAAATGGTACATCTTTGGTCCTGACATGATCAATGAATATTATGGACTGATAGCGGTGCAAGAAGAAGCTATTACAGACTGGAACTTAGTGGCCAAGACCCTAACAGGTGGACAGAATGATACATGGCCTACCGGTGACAAGGATTATCTACCTAGCTCTCAGCTCACCGCCAGATATGTCATTCTGCACCGACTTGCTCTACACAACTGGCTTCCATCAGCTCACTTTCATACGCTTGGTAAGCAATTGGCAGATTTCTTGTTCCGAATTGGAACAAAGGTGGCGATTGATCTGGGTGCCTGGATTTACTATCATATTCTCACCATGATCCATCCACGAGAGCAGAAGGTAAGGCTACCCTTCCCGAATCTGATTTATGGAATTCTCACAGCTCAGGGTCTTGAGCCTATGCCGAGTGAAGTAATCAGTCCAACCCTTCTCTATACTGTTGATCGGCATTTTTTGACTGGAGATCATATTTGTGATGTTACACTGGTGATTGTCCCCTCCAATTCTGAAGCTGATACAGTGGCTGATGATTCACCACATGCAAGGGATCTTCAACTCTCCATTCAGTTAAAGGCAAGGGTCTCTGAGCTTGAGACAGTTCACGGCATAATTGCGAAACAACTGACAGGGGCTCGTACTGAGTTGGCAACCGTTCTTCTTCGTTTAAGCTTGTCTGAATCTGCTGCTGCTGCTGAACCTGCAAAGTCTGACAGTGAGACTCCCTCCAATGCTTAACCATTCTTTGGCTATCATTGGCAAAAAGGGGGAGTATGAACTCAGGGGGAGTGTTTATGGTTTTTGTGTACCTTCTGGCCCTGGCTGGGCGTTTGATTGTGATGGCACCTATTTTTTTTTGAAGAAGAAGAATGTTTTTTACTGTTGTTTTTTAATCCAACATGACCTGTATGCTATGTTTTTATTCCCGCTATGTTTTGTAATCAGTTTTTTTTTTTTTATTGGGTTTTATGCTAGCCTATCTTAGTTCTGTCAGTTTGAGTCTTTATACGTAGTCGAGTTGTTTTGCCAAATAATAGCCAAAGGGGGAGTTTGATAGTGTTTAATTTGTTCATAAAAACCCCAACTTATGATTGGCAATATTATTATGGCAAACTAATATAGGATTAGCTTAGTGTCGATTTGTTCTACAACGAACTGATCAATCAGGTACAACAACAGAAAGACTGACACTGAAGATCTGTTTTAGGAAGCTGTCTCAATACAACATGTTCATGGTGATTAAGATGAAGAACTTGAGAAGAATCACTGCTGCTTAAACGAAAGGACATTACGATCACACTGTTGTGGGAACAACCGTAAAGAGCATGATTGAAGTGGACTGCATCAGAGTTGGCTCTCCAAGTGAAGGGATTTCATTGGACTTCTGTATGCATGGCTCTCCACCTTCAACAATCTACTAAACCTGTGTAGACTGGGTACGTACCTTGTGTGGGACACTTGGGTGAGATTATTGTTTTCTCTACCATTGTACATTGGATTATGATTTAGTGGATTGGACGCCTATGTGATCGTCCCCCAGACGTAGATACACACTGTATCGAACTGGGTAAACATCTTATGTTTTGCTTTGTGCTGTTATCTCTTTCTTTAAACATCTCTATGATTTGTTTTACTGACTGACTTCATGCTGAATCAGTCAGTCCATTTCATTAGTTGGTTAATACAGTTAATCTGATTAAAAATGAGGAAATGCAAAATTACATGTGGTATCAGAGCTTTTAACTCTACATAGTGACTTGATCCGTACGGGTTTTTAGTTTTGCATTATTCTCTTTCTTTTGGAAGTGCCTCTGTGTGTTCGTTGGCTGGTTGTCTTTGTTCAGGATGGATGTAAGTATGAAACCACCAGAACTAGATGGTCACAACTACTTTTTCTGGAAGGATCGTATGGAGATCTATCTCCAAGCACAAGGTACTAGGGTTTATCGTACTGTCCTATCTGGGTGGAGTCGTCCAACTGTTCAGAATGCTGATGGAACCACTGGGGATAAGCCCATGGAGACTTGGACAGACGATGAAATGAATGCCTCTGATCTAAACAACAAAGCGTTGAACTCTATTGTAGGATCTTTGCATGAATCTGTCTTTACCCTAGTCACTGGGGTAAAAGAAGCTAAACGTGTATGGGAAATTCTTAAAACCAGATTTGAGGGAACTAGTGATGTCAAGCAGTCAAAGCTACAAATGGTGTTGTCAGAATTTGAAGCTCTTAGAATGAATGAAGAGGAAACCATTTCAGGCTTTCACAGTCGGGTTCAGAATCTGATGAACAGAGCCTCAATTCTTGGTGAACCATTCACTAGTGAGAGAGTAGTCAAAAAGATCCTTCGATCTTTACCTAAACGCTTCCGGATGAAAGTAACTGCTATTCAGGAACACACAGGCTGGGCAAAGAAGACTGTAGGAGAACTTATGGGAAGTTTACACACATATGACTTGAAGTGCTTGCTTATGATAATCTTGCTGGCAACAGAAAAGAAAAGTCAGTGGCTTTTGTGGCTGAAGCTGATCGAGAATCTGACACAGACGACATAGATGATGAAACCTTGGCACTTCTAACCAAGAATTTTTAGAAACTATTGAAAGGATTTAACAAAAAGAGTCAAGGTCAGCCTACCAGGACACAATACAAAGGCAATAACTCCTCATATCAGAAAGCCGAAACCTCACCTTTTTCACAGAACAATCAACCCCAGACTGGCCGAACAAGACAAAACAGAAACAGTTCCACAGATACATGGAGGTCTCTTAACCGGTCAGTGCAGTGTAGAGAGTGTATCAAACTGGGTAAAAATCTTGTGATCGTCCCCCAGACGTAGATACACACTGTATCGAACTGGGTAAACATCTTGTGTTTTGCTTTGTG